TCATTCAAAACACTATAATTTTTCTTAGTTTTGTCAACAAGATCATTTTTTTACGTGCCATTTCTGATCATTTGTGGTATTGGCCACTAGGATCATCTGTCCGAAATTTCTCTTCGTGTTTCTGGCCTTTTAGAGGTATTTGCCACTTGGGCCACCTTTTTTTACGCGGCTTCTTTTTTGTGAACGGAGCCTACTTTCCGAAACATCAGCCATTGTAAAGAAAGCTGTACAAGTACACATAAAAATACAGTTTTTCCCACGATGAAGGTTTTTTTAATGTTCATCATCAGTGATGTCCCTGTTAACATGACCTTCCATATTTTTTATCAAAATCCACTGTCCTATTTCCAAATGAATATTATTTTCTTGCCTTTTTTCGTCCTGCAAACGGTTTTTGAGGTAAAAAATAAAATGCATTCATTTGAAAATGAAAAATCGTTTATTGAAAAAACATGATAAATTTTGTCAATTATTCTCTTTGGGGACATCTCAAGACTTTGGTGTACACTCAACCAATTCAAACTGAGGAATAATTAGGAAACCGTGTTATGGTTTTCTGTGAAGCAATAAAGGCGGAATTACATTATTATGTTGTGTGTTGTGATGCTCTCTGACATGACTACGAATGTGCAGAATATCCTGTTGTTTTGGGGTGGTGCTGTGACGTTATTTCGAGTTTGCTAATGTTAAGTTTACTTAAAAAAAAAGAGGAAGTAATGGGTTCATCCAGTAAATGATCTGAAGAGTAAAGCAAATATCATTTACTATTGAGAGAACTTAGAGTGTGATGAAGAAAGATCTCATCAATATTTCAGGATTTAAAAAAATCAATTTGAGGAATTACATTCTATGGCAGAAGAAGTTTTGAAAAAAATGTATATTTTGAAACAAGTTCAATAAGATCATCCATCTTCGGTACAAATAAACGCAAACGACCATTCTCTAGATAGAATCAAAGCGCCGTATTGCGCGAGATTCAGAAAAATACTAGTATGGAGTGTTTTGACGCGTCATAACCCCCACCACCGTTCTGTCGCTGATGGGAATCGACCGATCGCTGAAACGACAGATGGCGTTCCGACACGCTGTACTTTAGTAATATAATTCTACTCATATTGAATGTATGGATACAATATACTTATGGCGCGGCACGAGATGCCCCGACACAATAATGTAAATCTGCTTTAAGTGATACTCCAAAGAGTCACAAATCAATGAGAAGAAGAGCTGAAGCTTGCATTCTTACAGGATGTGGACATTTTTGAACAGTTAATTTGATTTTGTTACTGGGAAACCCTGAGAACGAGCGCATTCTCGTACGCTAACAACCCTACTCTGTTCTGGGTGAAGCACTGAAAAATTTAAAAATAATATAAAACTTGCAATAACTTCCAGTTACCTAGCTGTAACTCACCCCTTCCTTGTTTTCCCATTGGCTCTGGATTGGTAATTGTGGTACCAAAAAACCCATCCCATTCCAATCTACCGTATAACCCTGCCCAGTGGTTGTGACGGTCAGCAGTATGTGGTAAGCACCACGGTATCAATGTATTGAATTGCCTGTCTGATGGATCACACTTGGCTCCAGTAGCACATTGACATACGCCTCTTGGAGGATCAGTTTTCTTCTGTTTCTTGACCCTGAAACAAGAATTGAAATATACATTGTATCAAAATGAATTTCACTACTTTACCGATAAGGATATCTCAAAATATTTGTTGAAAATCCGTCCCTTAGCTTCACAGATATATTCTTCAAGTCTCTCCAATCAGCGCCAGAGTAAGCTGGTATGTGAGATATTCTTGACTCAACGATGGGTGACATCTCTTTGCAAATGTGATCTTCTACCATAATCCTTTCGTCACTTTCTCTCATCATCTTTTGGAAGTGCGAAACTGCTTTACTGTCATAGGGCATTTCACTTTTGCTCCATCCATTGCTGATTTCAGGTAGGTCTGACATTGCATCTCTAACACAGATCGTCCTATAAGGAGCTGATTCTGTCCAGTCACATCCTGCAAAAACATTTTTATATTTTCCAGAACGTTAAGTTTTGAACCTTTCTTATGACATTGAAGATATTTGAATTCATGATTGAACCCATGTACCTCTGTGAGAAGATGAATTTCATACATTGAATTCATTTTCCCATTCTGGAAAATGTTTGTATGATATTTTATACACACTTTGAATGTACTTACAATATATATTATGGAATTGGCTGATAGTTGATGAAAATCCATAACGTATTCAAAAATCACTTCATTGTGAGATTTTCATAAAACAGCTTTACAGGAAGGCAACACGTGTTTTGCTATACAATGGCTTCTTCGCCTTCCAGTTTGACCTATGCAAAACACGGCGCATGATCCACGTAATAAACCCTCGACCTATCAAGCACCAAACTCTTGTTTGTTATTTTCAATATGGCTCAAGTTATTATTGGTTTTATCATCGAATAAATTTACCTGATTCTAAAAGACGAAAATAAAAATCAGAGCATGTCCTTATTTGGGTCAACCTAGTATAAATATTTCAAAGTTCTTAAAAAATAAAAGTATAAGTATGGCTTATGAAACCAATAATGAATTAAGCATGCATACTATAAATAATGACAAGAGTTTGGTGTCAAATAAATCAGTAGTTCATAAACTGTCAGGTGGATCATGTCCAATACAAAGGTCAAATTGGAAGAACATATAAAGCATGAATAAGAGATCATAGAAATAGATTGGAAACATGAACTCAACATATGTTACTCACTGACATGAATTCAAACCCCATCATTGGCAGGTGTCTCAAAAATTCAAATTGAAAATCAGCCTTATCAAATGCTTTTGGGACACAAAAACTTTTGAGAATTCTCTTGCTTGACCCCACGTCATATCACATATCCTAAGGCATAATAAATTCAGATACACAAATAACAATTCATATGTACAATAAAAATATTTTCCACATAAATCAATTTTTTGGTAAAATGTATTATTCCCCAATTGGACAATTTCAAACCTTCAAATAATACTTTTCCAAACCCATTACTATTGATGATGGTATTAATTAGAGTTTTATCGCTTCAAATAAACCGGCAATTTGTGAGCGAGTTGACCTACTCCACCGGGTATCTAAATCATTTTTCCCGCTACCATGAACATTTTTATTAACACGCTTTTATTAGCTTCACCTGTATGTATGTATGGTTGTTTGTTTGTAACTCCAGAATTATCGACATTATTGCTTGATCTATTCGCGGTCAGATGGCGCTGTAAGTAACCTCCTTGATATAATTCGCTCGCTTTTATTATCTTCACCTATATGTATGTTTGTTTGTTTGTAAATCTCCTTTTCATTTCATATTTATTCCCGTTTGAATGCTCTGGAAACAGAAAATTTGCTTTCGTTCATAATGAGGAAATCAACAACAAATAATATCAGTGGAAACAAAATCAACGGATAAATTGTTCAAAATGACCTCCACCTAGTTCCGTACAATAATACAGTCTACTCTCTCGAAAGCATTCCGTACATTATTCAAGATGTCCGGATTCAGCAATAGGCATTTCCGAACAATTCTCTGTCGCATGTCTTCTAGATTTGTAGGCTTAGTAGAGTACACTTTCGACTTCAGGTGTTCCCACAGAAAGAAGTACATATGTATAGATCATGCATAGAAGTAACTTTCAGTCACAAACTGAAAGAAAAAGTCCCCTCGAAACAGTTATTATCATATAAACATTGAATTACATGAAAGAAAAACACTTTCGAAACAAATACTTTTATATGAACACTGAATTATACAAAGAAACACTTTTCTTTATTCAGTTTGTATCACAAACATTCGTTATGGAATCAAATATCATTCATAGGATTCCTAAAGAATATATTAAATGAAAGAGGTAAATTTTCATTTACATGGAACACTATCATCCCAACTGGTAGACATCGATATTTCGCTGTGAGACACTTGCCTTATTGGCTCTTTAGTACCTCAAATCTGGATAACACTATAAAAAACACTCAATTCATTCACAAAATTGTGACTTTATATCACGGATGACATGTCATCGATGACAGTACGCAATGACATTCATTCGCTTATTTGATTAAATTCCAGCCAAAAGATTAATTTTTGGAAGATGGGAAAGTAGAAAGCCAAAAACTTATTTTACCAAAAATAATCTCTCCCAAAAATATAACCCTTGCTGGGATTTAAAAGATTCCTAAATTTTTTTGCATAAAGATAGAGAAGTAGAAAGTCAAAACTTTCCTTTCCCTATTTTTCTAATGTTTTTGAGACATTGTCACTTACTACTAACTCAGCAATCCACAAGTTGCAAACAGTTTCCTGAGTTTCTTTTCCACTTCTATAGATGTAATATTTTTCAATTTGATAGCTTTGATCCTCTTTGCGAATTAATCTATCATTATCAGGTACATTTTTTCTCTGATTGGTCCCAAGAAGTCGATATATATTCTCTCGAAAACTTGTGAAGTTGTTGGCCATGATATCAACTCACTCTTGGGTGGATTCGGTTTAGTTTTTAAACACATATGACATGCCTTTATTGATTCCTCAATTCATTCATCAATATTTGGACAATACAGAGATGATTTACCTAATTTGTTTGCTGTTACAACGCCTATGTGAGTTGCATGTACGCTTTCGAGCAATCTTTTTCCTATGGATTTTTAGATAACAATCCTTTTTTCTCATAATAGGATGTTGTTTTTCAACTCCCAGCTCACTTCTTCTGTTTCTTCTTTGGTCATATTTCTTTTCTCAAACATTTCATGACCTCTTGAAGGTTCTCATTCTTTTATATTTCTTCTTTAACCTTTCTGTTATCTATCGGTCTATGCCTATTACTTGCCATTTCTTGAGAGGCACCCTTTCATTATCAGGGTTTATTTTTTTACTAGAATGGTCTAATTGTTACCATTTACTAGAGATCTAGCCACGAAAATTCCTGCTTCTGAGCCGTTGGATGGCTCTATCAATGCAAAGCCCAAGCCGCCAGATCCAGTAATTTGAACTTGAATGATTTTCTCGGTGTTGGGAGAGATTCTGGAATCCTCCAGTATAACCACCTTGGCGCTGTCATAAGGCTGAGAGGGCACGGCGCATAAATTTTTTTCATTTCCAACCTCTAACAGTTTGTTCCTTATTTCCACCACGAATTCGTAGGCGGACACGATGTCTAGTTCCAAAATAAATTCGTCGGCCACTAATACCTTAGTTCCTATTTCGCAGTTTCCAAGCCTGAGTCTCACTTCAACTCCTCCATAAACGGTTGATCTATCTCCAGTGGCTGTTTCCAGAACGAGTTCTACTGTGTTGCTCCAGTATCGACGGTGAAAAGGCACTGGTGATTATTCAGAAATCCGTTGACAACTAAGCTGTTACTGTTTCATCCTATCGTGAAAATCGAATATCTGAGAGCTTGGGATGCATCAGCCAATGTATCTCCCTAAGACTGGCTGAATTTAGTTTTCCGAACCCCGACGCTCTAGTTCGGGTAATCTCGAACGCCAGTCTCTTCTTTCGTCGGATGTTAATTGTGATCGACGGTCCTGCCTTAAATGTCCTTCTCTGCCGCAGTTATAGCATTTAGGCCGCCCTCTTGCCTTGGGAGTAGTTCCAGTCATCAAATATTTCTCAAAGAGTCCCTCTAGAAATACCATGATTCGGCCCGTTCCTTTGTCTTCCTTTTCACTAATGGCCCTCACTAGAACTTTTCGTTGTTGCCGTGAAGCATTTTTGGCAGCTTCAAATTCTAGGGCGTAAATGATGGCTTAATTCAATTTATTATGACGTGCCATCTTCAGCAACTGCTGCAGCTCCATATCACGAACCCCGTTGTTGGACTATGGACACTAATCCAGTGGGTGAGCGAGTCTCACCAACCTTTCGACTTCAGTCCCAAACTCTTGAAAACTTTCACCTTCAGTTCAGCTTGGTAGACTTGTTGAAGGTTCTCACTACCATATCTCTTTTTTCCTTCTACTTTACGCTGTAAAATTCTCTTTCTTTTTAGGCCGTGATGGAAGAACAAAAGCAGTCTCTGCTGCTATCTGAATCAATGTGCCCTTTTTGCACTGCTGTTCTCATACCCCATTATATATGTCGAAGAATTTTTTTTTTTGTTTTTGTTAATCATATCTTCATTAAAGGACATGTTTTAACTGTAATATGTGGTGGGAAATAAAACTATTATTAATATATCTGACCTCCAAAGCTTATACGACTGCTTCATAATCTATTTATTTATTATCAAGCTTCTCATCAAATTTCCGTCCAATTCCTTCAAACTCTTTAAATTTCCCATCAACCCCCTTACGCTTCTCATCGACTGCTTTTCCCAATCCCTCCTTTGTTTCCTGAAATACTTTTTGAAATTCTTCCTGAATAAATTCCTGTACCTCCTCTTCACTCATTTGAGTCGTTTTTAGATCTTTAAATAAATGACGGTACATCTCATTGTTTTTTTATCGTTTCTCGTGAATTTTTACTAGCAAGTATTTGTCTTTTTCTTGTTTTTCCTGAGTATTCCCAGCAAGTCTGTGACTTTTTCTGATTTTCCTGAATAATTAGTAGTCATTCTCAATCTTCATTTCGGCGTAATTGTTCTTTCTCTCTCGATTTTCATTCTCCGCCAGGCCCGCTTGCAAAGCATCGAACATTTTCTTGAGCTCTTACATCTTATCGTAATTGACCCTCCTTGTTTTCACTATAAAACAGAAAATTTTCAGTCAATTATTTTACTTTAGACACCAAATTTTACGTTTTCCCCGTGGGTTCTCCAATAATTGACTACAATGTATAATAATTGAACTTAACTTTATTTTACTGTCGATACAATAAAACACTAACTAAAATTTCGACTAATATGTCTATCGCCTTATTAAATAGCAGCGTACCGCACTGTCACTTAAACTTGATTATATAGATTTGCTTTATATATGACTTTTTGCGTTTACATATGACAATCAAAGGCAGCAGAAAATTCGCCGGAATTCCATTGACGCAGGTAGCATTATTCTCGAAGCAACGCCACATCTAGAACATCCGCAAGCGCACGTTGAGTTGAACACGTCACAATGGATTTATGACGACCAGCGGCGGCCGGTGTTATTTTCTTCAGGGCACTTCTTTATATTTGAAAAGATGCCGGAAGTGATGCGTTGTGGCTCATGTTTTGGGTTTGCTTTGGGTTATAACATTGTTATAACATTTGGGTTATAACCTTTTTAATTACTTTTGATAGTGAAGGTAATATATTATTTCGGCGGGAATCCAAAACCTTGTATAATGCCATTTTTCAAGCCAATGGAAAATAGTAGGTGGGAACAAATAAAATGTATATATCATTTGCTCCAGTTGTATTGGTTTCAATACTTTTAATTAAGAAATATCCTGAATAAATAAGCTACATCTGGCTAGATTATGATGAATACTTCAATAATATACAAAAACAGATTACTAGAGTATTACCATTGGAATAACGGCCTCCGTCCACCACAAATGACAACTTACAACCTCTTCTGTTGAACACATGAATGGGTTCTGGGTATTTAGGTAGAATGAAACCTGGTGCGGCAGCCATTAAAATGAGCCTTCTTCTCGTTTGGGGTACTCCATAGTGCCCGGCTTGTAAAACACCAAAAGTTACTTGATAGCCCATCGCAAGAAGACATCTCAAGGTCAATTTGAGCACCATACTTTTTTTGAAAGATACGAAATTCCTTACATTTTCTAATATAAAATATTTAGGCCTGGAACATTCACTATAGACTTATGCACAATTTACTGTGTATCCATCATACCTGTAATAATCGCAGTAACTGAGGTAAGACACAATGAGGGAGTTTTTAAATACGGAATACTGGCCGACGTTGAACCTATTCATGCCTGAAAATCCTTGACATGGCGGTCCTCCTACCATCATTTCTACGTCTCCTTTACAAGGCAGTCCTATTTCTTTACCTTGCTCGTTGAGTACCATTTTCAACAAATCATTACAATCTTGGGAAAAAACCTTGCAATCAGGATTGTTCATTTTATATGCATTTGCGGCGGATAGGTCTTTCTCAATCTGAAAATACAATTAAATATAATACTCTACAAACTAAAAAAATAAGACTATGTATAGACAAATACCTAACAGCAACACATGTTTTACAGCTTTCTCAGGTTTATTCATACTACGTTTATAAAAACTGTTATAATATCTACGTATACTCAGATCATAGACATTTCTTGTTTCGATCGTCATATGTATAATTTGAATAATTGTTCAAGTTAGTTAGAAAATTACTATTATGCTATTTTTTTAAACATACTGATGAATGAAAATACAGAGTAGGTGCAGGTAATATATTGTGTTTCAACAAGATGTTGTATGAGAGAAACTCATCATACAACGAATGAATCTCTTTTGGGCAAAATAATATGTTCTCAAATCATCTATTGTCAGACGATCTCTATGAAATCTCATTAAGCCACGGATGACACGGATGAAGGTAATTTGGAATTTAATTCCTGCATATGTTTTTCCCAATAAAGTATTGTTACTGACCTAATTTTTTTTTCGATTCTGGTATAGACTGTCCATTTAATTTTATATAAAGAGATTTTGAAGTGGTATTTAAGGTTTACAATGTGATTGAGCCGGTTTTTGAACTATTCAGCTGCAGCTGTTTTCAGTACACCATTTATTCATCAGTTAATTGTCTAGGCATGCTAGGTTTATCTATCACATCTTCGATAGCAGATGTATCATCAGCAAATTGGCACAATATAATATTCGACATGATTTTGGCAAGATTTTGCATGGATCACAAATAATGTGGAGGACCCTGTGATACTTCTTGCAATACAGCAGTTTGCTGTATTTCTGAGATTCGTTTAACCATGTTCGGAAATACAAACTAATTAAAAAAAAATCTGTTTTAAAATCTGTTTTTCCGTTAATCAGCTGCCGCTCCCATATGAACGAAAACTCTCAGAAGTTGAGAAACTTGTGCGAGCTAAGGACTAACGAGGTTAAAAGCTATCTATTAAATATTGTTACGTTTTCCCCGTGGGCTGGACAATAATTGACTACACTGTACAAATAAACCTAACTTTATTTCACTACTACACTGTCAATACAACACAAAACTTTAACTGAACTTCAGACTAATCCTTAAATGTCTATCGTCTTTTAGTTCACTTCGTATCGCACTTTCAACTAGACTAGCCTCCTCTGCCAGTTGGTAGTGCTTATACGAGTATATGTCGATGGAAGTCTTAGGAGGCCGACAAAAATATTCTCGAAGTGGCGCAGCACCTATGTGAACAACTTTAGACTTTCTTCTGGGTGATAATTACATTCTGCACACCAGATTGTTTATCTTGTGACTACCAAGTAAGGTCATTGACATGGTCTCTGCAATTAGAGACACAAACCTTTCCAATGTTGATGTTGGTAGAGCCACACTGCATCGCCCTCCTTGAAGCTCACTGCCATCGACTTTTTGTCAAACCTTATCTTCATTCCGTGGCTGGATAGCTGTAATTTGGATCTGGCAAACTGGTGGACGATATTCAGTCACTCCATCTGATTCACGTATTCTGAAAGGTTTGAGATTCTTCGGATGGACTGCAACACATTACGTCTATCGGAAGTTTCTCTTCACGACCGATCAACAACATGGATGGTGTGTAGCATTTCGCTTCATGGTGGGAGCTCTGGTATGCCAACAAAAAGAGAGGAACCAATTTATACCAGTCTCTTTGGCTTTCGGAGACATACATCGTGAGGTAGTTATTTATGGTGCGATTATGCCTCTCGACCATTCCATCGGATTGTGAGAGAAGAGCGGTTGTTCTTGTGTTCTTTACTCCCAAGAAAGTCATCATTTCTTTCCATAAATCCAATTCGAAATTGCGGCCCTAATTCGAGTGTTACTCATGTGGTGTTTCCTGGCAATTAAGTTTTGCAACAGCGCTTCTGCCACCGTTTTAGCCCCTTGGTTGGGTAAGGCTACTATTTCAGGCCATTTGGAGAAATGATCCATCACGATCATTAGGCACTCATTGCCGGATGTGATCATGGGAAGTTATACTAGAATGTCAACGGCGATTCTCTCAAAAGTGCATCCACAAAGGTACTGCTTCAACTTTCCTTTTAATTAATATAAGCTCCTGCTTTGCATTCAATATCCCCTTATTGTAATCTTCAGCAAAACCCATGAGATACTTCAAGGCTAATTTACCGCTGAATACATTGCTGATGGAATCCAATATATCTTGTTTACTCACATCAAGACCCCATCCTATCGGTAGTAGCGAATATGCATGTGTTTGTCCGAATGATATCATCGTTTTCATTGTGGTGGTTATACAGGGTTCTCGACCAACAACCACTTGCTCACCACCCATTTCATAGCGAATTTCGTCGAAGAGAAAAGCGATGATGTTATTGGATAGGTATCACCGCTTCGTGACATCAGATGGTGTGAACTTCCCCTCGATGTTACTATGACTGACACAAATTCAAATTTATTAACAAATGTACAATATCAAATGAATGTCTATTAATATTAAAAAAATGTTAGTACATGCATGTTGTATCGTATATATAACATCCATAATATTTTAACAGTCTGCTAAGTGTAAACAGCACTTGTGTTTGACTGAGTTAGTTGAAAAATAAACTGTTAACTGTTAATAGATATTGTTCATGAAAAAATAAATTAAAAAATGAAGAAATATATCAACATTATGAATGAGGGCGAAATAAATTATCTGTTGAATTAATTCGATGTTGTTATGCTGTTGTTCTCAACTTTTCAATCTCTCGTGGAATTATATTGTAAATTCTACAACCAATACATATGCAGTGATCTTGTATCAAATGTAGACTATACTTAGCAATTTGAAAGCATTTACTGGTATTTGATCTTGTATTATACTGATGTTCTATTATGCCAGTATTTGCAAAATGTTTTTTTATATAGATGGTACTGATTTTGTAAAATGTTTGTCTGAGATTTAAAATGAAATATTTTCTGAATTAAACTTTTGATTGAAATCTGAAAGGTTTTTTAAAAATTATTTTTATTGCATATTTATGAATAGACTTGACATATTTTAATGAATTTTCATATGCACCACCCCAGGCTATGATTCCGTAGGTTATAATATTAGAAAATAATGCATGATAAAACATCAATAGTGTTTTCACTTCAAATATATTTCTCAGAAGTCTGAACCTATGAAGACATTTTCTTAATTTTTTGTTAATTCAAGTGAATGTTTTTTCCACTCAGGCAACAATCTATATAAATTCCTAAATATTTTATTTCTGGGGTTCTGTTTAATTTAAAAGTGCAATTACATTTTTGAAATTGTTTCTGTAAACACTTTGAACTATGAATTTTCATTTCATGAAATTTTTGTTGATATTTTTCACTACATGAAAATGTCATGAATATAGTTGTCACGATATTAAGTGTGAGTAAGTCATAACTCAAGTTATGTTTCAAAATTGACACGCCAACTTCAGCCTTCGATATGGTCTCATCCCAGTTATCTCCATCCACTACATATACAGTGTTATCTGCATATGAATATAGATCTCCATCAAGATTTGTATTTAGTAAATCATTAATGTAAATAAAAAAAGGAAAGGTCCTAAAATCGTGCCTTGAGAAACACCACACTTTGTTATTTGTTGGTTACTCTTATATTCATTTATTTTCACGAACTGTTTTCTGTTTCTCAAGTAACTTCGGAAAAGTTCAAGGCAAACACCTCTTATTCCTTATTGTGTTAGTTTTTCCAGGAGTTTAGAGTGAGATACCATATCAAAAGCTTTCTTCATATCTAAAAATATTCCAATCACTTTTTTGTTAGTAGTCAGACTAGTGTCCTACCGAAAGTTCGGTTTCGGTCGAGTTTCGGCAAAAAAAGGGGTCGTGATTATTATGACATTAGGTAACAACTCAAATAAGTATTTTAATGTTTAATAGTGTGCACAATATCGTATACTT